GTAGCGTCTGTCAGCGACCTGATAACCCCTGTCACGTCCTGTAGCTGTCGCGCCACCGACGACTCCGTTTCTCTTAAATCCGTGCTTAAGTTGGAGGACATGATGAAGTCAACCTTCTCTGAAGAAACCTCAATCGTCCGCATTCGCAGAAAAGCCTCAATCTCTTTCAAGTCCGCCAAAAGAAGCTGCAGCGTCGGACGATGCTCCAAAATCGTCAGCGCCTCAACGCCTCTGGCCACGGTGTCCGCTGCCGCCGTTGCAATATCACCGTTGATCAGAGAATCAGTAATGTCCCCAGAGGCCAATTCTTCAATCTTAAAGTCAATTTCTTCCTCAGCACGAGTGCAAATGTCTTCCTCACCAAAATCAATCTTGTTACCGCTGTCGACACTCTGTTCCTGAGATAAAAATATATCATAAGCATAAAACGTACTCGAGTTACAATATAACAGACATAACTACTTTAAAACATTTCAAAACTTACCTTCTTTCAACATGACACTATATAACAATTTATATAATCGGTTTAACGAACTGATAATTTTTGGTACCGGTTTCGGTTTTGCGTCTATGAACTGCGGGTTTTGCAATACCGATGGAAGGGACCTATAAGCCTACAGAAATGAAGAGGCAGTGCGGACTTATCTTGCAGATTCGCAGAAGAGATACATTGTTAAAAAATGCTGTGTGAACGCGGTTAAAGCCAAAATCACATCAACGTTTAACAGAATGAAGATATTAGACCTGGTAACATTAAAAACAGTACGTTTGTTGTGAATTGAGCTATGATCGTGGTAAACCATTCCTCTTCCTCACAGTCACAAATAGAGCAATGTAATGAAATTACGGATTTCACTCCTGGACGAAGCATGATTGAGTTTTCTTGAACAATCGTCATAAACCCTAAATCAAACAGGCTAACGCAGTCACTAATCAACAGGCTTAAATATTTTTACGACGTCTATTAGAAAAACGAGATCCAGACTACAAATCTGGACGATGCAATCTAGACCACAAATAATGCATTATGATACCACTGATTATCTGCCTACCATATGAACGAATAATGGCGACTCGTTTGCTAAATTCAAAGAAGATTTACACTATGTGGATGGAAGACACTAAGATTTGGATGAAAAAAACATTATTCGGGTCTTTCTCTTGGTCAAGATCAGGAAACATTTCCAAAACTGAAATATCTCTTTGAACAGAAACGCAACCACAGATTCACTACAATGCATTCTACTGTTTACATCTGAAGTTTACCTCGACTTAATAACAAACTGTGAAGTGAAAACTACAAGCGTGATACAATGCTCGAGCAGAAATATAATGCGAATAAACCGTTACAGACTGTGCTATGTTGAAAACTTAGATTAAACTTATTCATTTCATAAATTATCACCTGCCAAACCAATGGGCCGAAGTGCCAGAAGACGGCAAAGAATAATATGAGGTAAATTATGATTGCTCGTCCTTTCGAACTGCGTAAACGGAACCGTCATAGAGCTTCAAACGTTTCCGATCTCTGAGCTTCACCAGAAGACAACCAGAGTCTAGAGCAGAGTCCTTCTATACACTTGCCCCGAATTATTCTTCACTGTATCCGGGGTCTTTAACCGGTCGGTTGTGCAAGTACAAGATGCTTCTTACCTTCTGGAGGCATTCGCAATACATGCCCAAACCGTTGCAGCTGTGACTTGTCAGTCTGAGTAAGCAGCTGCTGCACAACAAGGGTCTTGCGGATGTCTGCACTTCGGACCATGTCGAAACGCGTAAGGCCAGCAATTTGTCTGAGAAAGCCGATTTCAGCCGCTTATACCCAGGATCGAAGTTTTTCAGTCCTATTACATAGCTTATGAACGAACACTGACTTTAACATTGAAAGTTTAGTCTTTAGACTCAGCTCTGCTTTAGTTACAATGGTTTCGGCTAGTTCACAGAACGCCATTGACGGTTCCAATCCGCCAGTGCATGTCTTCCTCAAACTTTCCATCACCGGTAAACATGACCGTGAGGTACTCTAACTTATCCACCTGCTCCACTGTTTCTTCGTTTAGGTGGTGACAATAACGCACAGGAAAATGAGAAACCACTAAACTTTTCATTTTGGATACGTTCACATACACGTCGACAACGTGATACGTGTAGATCAGTTTAAGATGCCAACAAAACAAGGTCGTCTTCAAAGAGCAACATTCTCGTCTTGATATCTCCTACAATGATCCTCTGTCTGCGCTAGAATATTCTATCCAAGTACAGTACAAACAGAAGAGGCAAAAAACGCAGCGTTGGAAAAGATCAGTACCAAAGATGAATGGTCTCGACTTAACCACTTTAATTCTGATGCAACATCATCTATCAACACAGTGATTGGATGGCCCTTAGCAACTGGCCGTCGGTCCCTTATATTTGCGGGCATGCCAAGAGTTTGTTGCCCAAGATCCGGTCACAGTCTTTCTATATGTCGACAAAGCACATGTATTCTGATATGGAAACACCAACGATTTTTCAACCATTTGGCACAAGGCGAATATCGAGTCAGAGGTGCTTTGGTGAGACCTGAAACAACACTACTCTTCATACATCGTACCATCTTCTTCGTCAGTTATTCCGGATGAAACTCCTGCCTAACATTTTTACGCAGATTTTACTCGAGATGCTTAACAATGTAACACCACGTTAATTAGAGTACCCTATGATCTATATACATGAACAGAGATACTACAACCCCTATTCTACGGTCTACTGGCGTCTTTTCGTAACCACTGCAGTTTCAGACACCTGCAAGCCAATAAGCTGCATTAATCATTTAATGCTTTAGGCATTTTAGGGCGGATTTAATCGATTTCATCAGCCGCATATTTTTCAAGATGTTTACAGCTTCTGCGACTATCTGTTGAAAGATTAATGCGTTGGGTGCTACTCTTCACACGAGACTTTCTACGCTTGCTCTGGCTCAAGGATTCCTGAAAGTTACTCTCTCCATCGATTAAATAGTCCTCATTCTGGGTAGGAGGGCGTCCAGACTTGTACCTCAAGACTCTTGCCCGACATTTCTATCCATCTTTGTTGCGGCGGCCTTCGAGCATACGGGATTGATGGCCAGCTGCTAAGAGCTTTCCAATCGCTGTATTCTGATAGCAGGTGCTGACTCAGAATAAACGGCGTTAAGTGGAATCGATTCAACGTTCGCACTGGTTTTCGACAAGGCTGCGTTCCGACCCCTCTCCTGTTTGTGTTGATACATGAATAGAATAGTCTGGAGCAGCCAAGGCGATGAGGGTATCAGTTTAGGAGATGCGAAGTCGAGAAGGTTGCTGTTTGCAGACGACCTGGTTTTATTGGTATCTTCTGAAACTGATCTTCAGTGCTCCTTAGAAATGTTCGCAACCGAGTGCGACCTGACTGGCATGCGCGTGAACGCATTTAAAACGAAAAGCCTAGTGCTTTCTCGTTCTCCTGCCCTTTGCTCTCTTCAGATTAACGGAGAGGCAGTG